AATTAACATATGTCAAAAAAAAAATATTCCTCTATTCCGGTCAACCGGCCGAATGACCGGTGGGACGTCCGGTAGGATTTCCGGTGGGACGACTGGTTAGGCCAAATTTCAAAAAAAAAAAAATCAAAAATCACGCTTTACACAAAGTTTTCTGCAGAGTTTTGTGTTTGTTGTGGAAAACTAGTTAGAAAACTCTATCCAAACATGATGTTACAATTTGTGGGTAGAAGTAGGATTTGAAAATCCTTCCAAACAGATATTAACTCAAATTGAAAATTGGAGGGCGAAGGAGAGAAGGGATTGCTTGTGTGGCCACTCATCTAAAAGAACAGTAATACATACAGAGATGAGACATATATATACCTTAAAAAAAATATTTGGTAGCTTGAATTTGTGTAATCCGAATGACTCGAATGTATTAAAACGTCGTCGTTTTATCTCCAAACATTCGAACCATTTGAATCATAAAAATTCGAGTTACCAAGCATCGTCAATACCTAAATTCATACATGTTGCTCATGCATGATATTTCTACAGCCTAGCGATTATTAAAATATTTTTTTTTAAAAAAATTGTGGAAAGTACAAATAAAGCAATCCTCAACCCACCTTCCATTTTTTTGTAAAACTTTTCTTAAATTACAAGTCAACTTAAAAAAAAAAAAAACTGATTCATTAATTGTAATCCCACCATTAGTTGGTACTTGAGACATATATATACCTAAATTCATACATGTTGCTTATGCATGATGTTAGCCTAGTGATTATTAGAATTTAAAAAATAATAAAATAATAAAAATTATGGGAACTGCAAATTAAGCACTTCTTAACCGACCTTCCATTTTTTTGTAAAACTTTTTTCAAATCACAAGGCAACTTTTTTATTTTATTTTATTTTATTTTTTGTTGAAGTTGTTACATTAATTGTAATCCCGCCATTATTAATGACACCAGTGTGATCTGGCCATAGAGATTCAATATCTAGGGTGACATTGACATTAAGATATTTGGGTAATCAAAGGAAAATGCCAACACATGTACAACACATTTGGAATATTAATGTACATGATTGGAAGGAGAGAAAAAAAAAAAATCTTTTTAATTCAATAGTTGAAATAATAATAATCATTTTAATATCATCAGCATCATTGTTTATAGGATCTTAATCACTTTGAAAAAACTTAGCATATATGATATTTCTACATCTTTAAGTATATTTATAATCTAATCAAGTGATTTAGCTCAATTGAACATTATTATATACTTTGAACTCGGAAGTTAGGGTTAATTTTTATAAAAAGTAAATATTAATTATTTCTTTTGTATTAGGGGGTTTCTTATTATTATTATTATTATTATTTTTCTTCATTACGAGACATTTATTGGAGTTGAGTTGGTGACTATGGCGCTGTTTGGGAAGCACGAAATGAGGCTATTATAGCCTCATTTGAGAAAAAAGCCCAAAAGCAACACTGTTCATAATTTTTTCAAAAAAAAAAAAAAAAATTTGTGACACATATTTACGTTTTTAATGTAGGATTAGTGCTCACAGAGGCTAGAGGCGAATCTAAATTGCAGGTTCTTGATGAACCGCTTGGAAGTAAAGACAATCAACCATATTTTTAGAGAAGAAAATACTTGTGCCGACAACCTTACAAATCAAAAAATTCCCACTAATGAAGAAATTCATATTTTTCAACATGCCCCTGCTCCTTGTATTTGTAATCAAATGTTTGATGATGCTAGGATGGTCTACTATCCTAGAACCTTGTAACCATTTGCTTTTTTATCCATAATATTACTGCTCTACTATTACCAAAGAAGAAAAAAAATCCCATTTCGCGGCTTGCTGTATTACTACTCTTCACATCAAATGTAAAATAAAGTTGCAACTCTGTTTCAATTTGTGTTTGGCTTGATTTAATAAATGAAAATATTATATATAAAGGGGAGAATAAATTAGTTTATTGATTTATTTGAATCAGATCAACTCTATATTTTTTATATATTTTTTTCATAATAAGTCAAAAAAATTAACTTGTAAGTTACTTATCAAAATAACAAAAAAAATATTATACTAATCAAATAGTTCAATATTGACCCATAATAATAGCATAGAGAAGGGAGTGCATAATTTTGTTATGTTATTGTACTTTATCTATTACAATGATATATATACAACTGCCTCAGAGTTTTCCCTGGCAAATATATATATATATATATATATATATACATACTAGTTTAAAAAGATCAGTACAAAGTACGAGTTATTATTAAAGTATATTTAAGTTTTATATTTTGATATTTTTTTAAATTAAAATATTATTCAATGAAATTGAATAGAATAAATTATTAAATATATGATAGAATTATGTGGTATGATATATATCATTTTTTATTTTCTTATACACCCAATGATGTAGACTCCAATTATATTATCATATCATTTTAGGTGAATTTATGAGTCTTTAACATTTTTCCGAATTTAAAAAAAAAATATGGTGTGCATTTTTTCTCAACAGATAAATATAAAACAAATACTAAGATAATTCTCACATTTAAAAAAAAAAACTACTAAGATAATTTACTGAACTAATAAAGAAGTAGATGAAAATACATAAATGTACAAATGACTAATTTTATTAATACATAAATCATACTCGCATAACAAATGACCAATTTTATTAATAAGTAAATCTTAAGTAAATTAATAATTTGTAATGATATGAAAAATATTTTTCAGTTAACCATTTTGTTAATAAATAAATCATTAAATCAGTGTGAGAAATGTTTTTAATAAATAATTTTGATAATTTATCATTGCATAGGAGAATAGTTTTATTTTATTTTTTATTTTTTTCTTTCTTTCTTAAGTATTGTGTTAAATGAAAATTTATAACAAACGATAGTTGTAATTTCTAATATTATAAGACCGATTCATATTTTAAACAAATTTTATGAGTGTATTCATAATTTGTCAAAAAATAAATATTTATGTATAAAATATTTATGGTTCATAATTGACCAAGAATGTTTGTATAATTATAAAAAAACCTGTTGCATAATTGACTAAGAATGTTTGTGTAATTACGAAAAAACTTTCACTCAACATATAAGTCACCATTAGTAAATTATTCAAAATGAAATGTCAAAATCAAAAAGAAAAGACAAATCTCAAATAGTTAAGTGTCTCTCACATATATATATATATAGATATATTAAGAAAAATGTAATTTTTAATAAAAAGAGCATTGTAAAATTTAAAATCCTCACATTACTTTTTTAGATTTCTTATTTTTTAAATAATTAAAAAATCTTTTAGGGGCTAACTTTATTGAAAGATTTAAAAAAAATAATCTTAGTATGATTTGATTTACACATTTCAAAAGAAAAGTTAATTCATTATTTTAAAAATTTAAATTTAAAAATTTGAAAAGGAAAATCAATTAATCAATTTTAAAATTAAAATTTTTGTACCACTAAAACGTAGGAATCAATTTATATCTTCAATAGATTTTTCTCTTGATATTTAATAGTTTTATATATATCGACATTCTAATCCATAAATCAATATTATAGTAAAGAGACATTTTATTAATAAAGACAATGAAATCTCCAAAGTTCCATACAAAAATTTCAAATTTTAGTAATTAAATAAAAATAGGAAAAAAATTTATTTGTTGCTTTTCTATCTTAAAAAAAATTCATAACCAATTAATCTATCTCACCAAAAGATTTTTATAAGATCATTGATTTGTGATCCATAGTTTTATTCCTTTTTCTAATATATTTTTAAACGGATAATTTTATTCCCTTAAACCCGCAAGTTATGCTTCTATAGCTTAAGGTAGGATTTTATATTTTTTTTTTGGTTAGACAATATAACAAAGGATTCAGAAATCTTTTTAAATATTGATGATATGTTTAGTTCATGATTTTGGATAAAAAATTTGAAAGAGAAAATAAAAAGGAATGTGAAATTATGTAAAATATAGTTATGTTTTATTCATATTTCACATATTATCTTATTTTTTTTATCTTTTTAAATTCTTACCTAAATTCATGAATCAAACATAACATTAAGTTGGGTACATTATTTCTTCAAATTTCTTTATATTGTTTTTTGAAAAATTTGAAATAATATTATTTATTAAAATTGGGTACTACAAACTCTTGTCACGCATGTCTCTCTATATAATAATGATTGAAATTTGTTTTAATTGCTATCTCAAAAATTAGTGATAGAGTGAAAGAAAATAAGTCTTAAAGTTTTAAAATAAATATTTTATATTAAAATTTATTCAAATGTAATTCTCTTAATATTTATAAATATTAGGATAAATTATGCAAATAGTCCATGTAGTTTACA